GCGGCGGCGGCGGCAGCGGTGGCAGCCTGGACATTGTGAGCGCAGTGTGCCATCTCTCTGTCGTGCTGCACAATCTGCTGGATGATCTCATTCTCTTGGTAGTTGAAAACACCCGAATTGAGGTCGTGCTGGACTTTATGCAGCAGAATGGAATTTTTCTTGCCTGTAGAGAAAGCGAAGAGAGAAAGAATCATTCAAAGATATGTCAAAGCATGGGAGGCTTCCTCAGAGCTTCCTGCCAGACTTTCCTCGAATCATTGGCACTGTCTCCCCTCCACTGTCATCATGGGATTTGCGTACAGTCTCTGTGCTTCAGCAACAAGACAACAAACATCACATCTTCTGCTTTTGTGGTACATTCAACAAACCTCAAGATCCAATAAAAACGTGCCCAACAGGACGCATATTCTTTCTTAGAGAGTAAAGTCACTTTTGTTAAGTGTGGCAGACTGGTAGCAAAGCTTATGAATCTGGAAGATTCTCATTTTGCACCTCATAATCTGAACTTCCATTAGAAAAAGAGAATAAATCCAAAGGCTCTATTTTTTGTGTGTGTTTGCAAACCTCAAAAATATAAGTCCAGCAAAGCGTCCTGAGTCTTCAGCTGCTCTCCAGCAACACCTTTTCCTCATCTGTCTTATGCAACTTGTTCACTCTGAAGTCAAGTATGTGTTTCTAGTTGAAAGGAAATTTCTCTATGAATAAGGGACAGAAGGATTTTACATTCTGGAAAAGCTCAGGTGGCCCAAGTAAGACATGCTGCAGCTACCATCCTACTTGGCCATGCCCTTCCAGCCCCAGCGTTAAGGAAACCACAGGCTAGCAAACGTCATGCTCCCGCTGGGCTTCCTAGCCTGCAGCAAAACATTAGCTCAGCGCTTTGCCTTCCAATGGGCTGGAAAATGTGACGTAATGAGTTTGTCTGGCCTGACAGCGCACCTGGCACTGAAGGGATGCACTCTTCTGGACTGAAGGACACAACCATTCAATGCAGGGGGATGAGATGCTGCCAGTGATGCCCTTTCACCAGAGCACAAATGCCTTCTCAAAGGAGAAGCCTTCTGATGCAGACGGGCTCTCGTAACAACTTCCCTACCTCTGTTCTCACAACAGAATGCAAATCGGTAACTATGCCAGCACTGATGTATAAGGAGCTGGTATATGCTGATTTCAATGATTTTCTTACAAAATCAGTGTGGATTAGATCCCTGTTCTTGCCTTTTCAAGGGTCCTCTATCCTGACAACACACACCAGTTTGAATTGACGACAGCTCCTGCCTATGGGCTTCCTTTTCACTGTTGTTTATTGAAGCTGTTTGGCTTTGAAGGGTTCAGCCTCGTAAGTCGTGCGCGAGAGCGTCTGCGTGTGTGCGTGCGTGTGCACACCTGGCCCTCTCGTTGTAGACAGCTCGTTTCGTAGCTGAAGCTCAGGGGGTGAGTGTAGAAGGGTCACCTCTAGAGGAGGCACCAGCCAGTTTGGATCAGATCAAAAGCTCTATTAACCCTCCTCCTGAACCAAATGTATCCGCACCCATTAGCAAACCTCTGCTCTGATTCAAACGTCATTTCTGCTGGTTCCTGTCTGATCACTTCTAGTTCCTGTACAGGACCAGGGCAAACAAGACAGCATCTTGCCAACTGGTGCGGATTTACAGAGCATGAGATAGCAGGTACGGAATGGAGGCTGGGATGTGGAAGGACCTCTTCTTCTGCGTTTTAACCCCAAATCATGTCATGCTTTAAGAATTAAAGTCTGGCAGCACAGCTCATGTCAATTAAGTTTCCTGCAAACAACAGTTTGTCCATTAAACTTGTCTCCATGATCATGAAATCACAACTTTCAAGATAAGTCAGCCGTTGATATTACCGACTAAGACCACAATATGATATTTAATTTGTCCATTATAGCATTCTAGCTTAAACTGGTCAGCTGATAGTTTCCAAGAAGGAATGGCTATGAGTGGGCTGCCATGTGGGTAGTAGTTCCCAGTGAGATTCTAGAGGAATTTCCATTCAATCCCCTACCAGTCTGATCTCAGATCTTCATGTACAGATGTGGGTACATCTCTACGCATAGATGGCATCCAGATTGTTGTTTGGGTTTTGTAGTGCATGATGTGTATTTTATACCTGTAACTGAGTCAGAGTTCAAGGACATGCCTCTTGCTCCAGCCGAATGTAAAATCAAACATCAGGCAGCACAGAACTTGAATGACACTCTGAAGAGGCTAGCTGGTATCCTGGTGTCCTAAAAAGTAACTCTGAAACAGTAGAGTCTTGAATATGACTAGCTGAGTTCCAAATTTACCACCAGAAAAAGATGAAACAATTATTGCCCAAATAAGGAGGAAATTGTAAAGTCTAAGGCAGATACTAGTCACTACCACATACAATGCTACAAAGGCATACCCCAGATTCTAGTGTCTAGCTGCAAAGCATGAAAAGGTACAGAAAATATTCACAAGAATCAGGCTCGGAAAACATCTGTGAATAAGTACAAAGCTTCTCTCACAGGAGAGGTGATTTCATATCAATTTATAAGGAGCTTCACAGATGAAGGAAGCTGCTAAGAACCATCCCCTTCGGTTCCAGAAGAACCCAGGAGTTACTGTGATTTTAGACAAGCCCATAAAAACAGAAGAAGGAGCAATCTAAGGGTTTTTCCTTTACTGTACTTTTTAAAATCAAGAGTTTATCTCTTTATAAAGGCTCTAACAACTGAGTGCTACGCAACAGTGCTACGCAATTGTTCAAAGCGGGTAAAGTCTGCAATCTGCAGGTCCCTGCTCAACCTTCCCAGTGGGCTGAACTGCACCATAAACCCAAACCACTAAAATGCTGACAGAGTTTTGATTCTGCAGCTGCAGCTGCTGCATTTGGGACATGCCTGTTGCGAGTAGTGCTGTGGGATGCTTCATGCTTTTGTGTTTTACCTACTGCTGATCACTCCCTCCGAAAAAGCAGTGAGGCATATGGACTGGCCTTTCTTTTCTCACCTTGGAGAAAGACACCAGCCCTGGAAGGACGCAGTCCTGAAGGCAAACTGTTTTGAGCTGCTAATGTCATGACAAGGGCTGGAGAGCTCGTCTGTACTGGAAGTGCTTGTGTAGGATATGTGTATAATGCCCGTTTCATTGTATACCGGGCTGGAACAGACGGCACTGGATATCCCCTACGCAGACAGATCCTTGTTCCACCTGCCAGAGGCACATCAGAGGGAGTATGAACGTCACCTTCCAACTTAAGAGCATTTTTGCAGTGAACATACAGTGATTTAGGCTGCCCAGGGAGGTGGTTGAGTCCCCATCCCTGGATGTGTTTAAGAATAGGGTGGATGATCTACTTAGCGATATGGTTTAATGGGGATTAGGGACAGTTGGACTCGATGATCTCTAAGGTCTTTTCCAACCTAGAAATCTATGAAATCTATGAAATCTATGAAATCTATGAAATCTATGAAATCTATGAAAGGGAGTGAATGGCTCAGAGGGTCACACTGCACACCCTGGCAATTTCCATACGGTATCTGCTAGAATTCCATATGCGCTCACCAACGAATTACATCACAAAGAGCTGCTCAAACAGAAACAGAAATACTAATTCTTCTAAGCCTGGAGAGAAGGAACAACCTATCTAAACAAAATTGACAGGTAGGAGAGAATCTGGCCAGCACACTTGAGTTAAAGAGGGATTCAGGCCGCAGGTTTGTAATCATTCTCTTTCTGGAGTTGAAGGTACAAATCCCAGCATGGGGAATCCGTAGCTATCTCACACAACTGCAAGGTCAGGATGCAGATCGGAGACGGCACACGGAGTTCAAAGCCGACAGGCAGAAAAGCCACCCTACCACGTTTGCTTTCTGGATCACAGACTGCAGCAGAACCGGGCTGAGGAGGAATGGCCAGGGGTGGAAGAAGGAGAAACAGCAGATGTTGCTAGTGCAGCTTTCCGAAAAGCTCAGTACCACCAACCGCTCTGTGTTTCCATCATCACACCTCATCTCCCTCTTTTAATTCCATGTCACCTGTCTTTGGCTTCAGATTTGCTTGTCTGTGCTTGAATAGCCTGCAATTTCCAGCGCTGCCCTCAATTCAGATGAGATCCCATCGTGATGTTCATCAGAGCTGCACGGATGAATCGAGGGGACTGATGTTTTCACCACCGGAGCTCTCGAAACCACAGAAAGAGCCGAACAGCAGGCTCTGGTTTCCTTAGCAGAGCGCTAAATGGAGAATATGCTAACATTTTCCAAACATGCATACTATTTACTGGAAAATGGTTTGATCAAAGCTCCTTAAATTTGTGTCAAATTGAGAAAATAGTTCCAGCAAAAACCTTGGAATTATTTTCTTTTTTTTTAGTTTTTAAAACAGAACATTTCAGTTTTCCTTTGAAATTACATTCACTTCACTGTTAGTTCCTGAGTCCAACTTGAATACTTGAATCAACTATTTCATTGGATCAAATTTTTCTCTTCTGTTTTGCCAAGATAGTCTCAAATTTCTGCTTCGGAACATTTTAAAAAATTGCTGAAAATGTTCTTTCGATTATTGAAGGGGAGAGGAATTTTCCAAAATCATTCTTCAAAATTGTAATTGGTTAGCAAACTGAAAAATTAATTGGTTCCACTATCTAATTAATTGCATCATTTACATGATGTTTCCACACACTAATGTAAGTCTTATTACTTGCTTCTGGAGAAAATCCGCCTTCCATCCAGAACCAGATGAGGACAGGCACACAGCAGAGTCCTGGTGGGACAAAGACCTTTTCCTGGCAGGTCTGACTAAGGTCCCGCATGAATCATAGAATCATAGAATCATAGAATGGTTAGGGCTGGAAGGGACCTTCAAAGGTCATCTAGTCCAACCCCCCTGCAAGGAACAGGGATATCTCCAACTAGATCAGGTTGCTCAGGGCCTCGTCCAACCTGGCCTTGAACGTCTCCAGGGATGGAGCATCCACCACCTCTCTGGGCAACCTCTTCCAGTGTTCTACAACTCTCATGGTAAAAAAATTTTTTCCTAATATCCGATCTGAATCTACCTCCCTCTATTTTAAAACCATTACCCCTTGTCCTATCACAACAGGCCCTCCTGAACAGCCTCTCCCCATCTTTCCTGTAGGCCCCCTTGAGGTACTGGAAGACCGCTATAAGGTCAC